TTGTGCCACCACTTAACCCTATCCGTACGTCGTGTTTTACTATCGTATCCATACGACGTGGGGAAGTCTGTGCCACCACTTAACCCTATCCGTACATCGTGTTTTACTATCGTATCCATACGACGTGGGGGACTCTGTGCCGCCACTTTCCAAAGAGAAAATTTACTCGTTAATCCGATCCGTACGCTTTGCATATCAGTCTGTCAAAATGATTTTTTGAGAAATGCTGAGAGTTTCAAAGAGATCTTCACACTAGAAGTATTCTAAAATGCGAGGAATACAACCCCGGGGGTACAAAATGACCCCAGGGCGTACGGATAGGGTTAAGAAATACAAGCCTGACGTCTACTACTTTGTTGAGCTGTCAACATCCAGAGAATTTTCCAAGTTTCTCTGAAGAGTTTGTCTGACCTTCCAAAATAGTTGCCCGAGTTACTCAAAGAAAAACAACAAAGACGTTTCTTGCTACATCAAGTCTTGCATAGTGGATCCACTCAGGATGATTTGTTTATTTATTTTATTCATTTTTTTAAACTGTTGAAACATTATCTTGTTTTTTCTCTCTCTGCTGTTTTCCCTTGGTGACAAAAAGCGTGTTGGCTATATAAACCGGAGAACTAATAAGACGGACAGAAATTTACTCGAGTGAGCAGATTTTTAGAAAATCCTGAGTTGTAAAAATTTAGATTTGTTTGGAAAAACGGTCACACAAAAAATGAGGTAAGTACAAATCCTAATTTTTGGGTTTGTTCAAATGAAACAAAAACGGCGAATCCCGAAGAACAAAAGCTAAGAACAAAGTTAGATATTTGCACTGAAGTAAACAATCTTTTATGAATTGACCAAGTCTAAAATTCCATCGAAATTGACGTATTCGTTTTCTTGTGACTGCACAAATGTCCACGAAGTGAAGCCTTATAAAAGTAAAAGAAAATCCATCTTCATTTCTCGGCCCCGTGTCAACTGTAAACGTTGGACTAGGAGACTTGTGGCGAGTCAGCCTGAGAACAAGTTCCGACCCATCCCGAGAAAACCCTGGTCGTTGAAGGAACCGTACGCTCTCTTGTCACCGAGATAGTTTTGCTCAATTCCGTGGAACAGGCTCCGCGATATCGAGTCAAATGTCCGCTTGGAGAGAAAGTTCTGCTCCATTCCTTGCATGTTTCCCTCGCCGATGGAATCAAAGGTACGCTTTTGTTGACGGCCTTTCCAATTTGTAGGTCTTTGAGTATGGACAAATTTGTTCGTAGGCGATAGCTCTTTCCATACTTCGTTTAACCGCCGGTTTGCTGAAAGTTGTTTCAGATGATCGGGCCAGACAGCCCCAGTGTACGCAGGTCGACCCAGGCGTGATCCGAAATAACTCGTCCCCGCAGCAAATGGTCTGGTCATTCTGATGACGTCACCGTAGGTCAGGTATGGTGGCCGGACTCTCTTGGGCAAAAAGTTTTGCTCCATCCCGTGAAACGTCCCGTCATTGATGGAGTCGAAGCCCCTCTTCCCGGGGTAGCTGGGGCCCAGTCTCGCCCGGGGCGCCGTCCAGTCTCTGGGGAGGGCGCCATAGTTCCGGAGCACGTCACGAAGAATGTCCACGAACTGCCCAACGGTCATTTCCCCCCGACGTTTGTCCAAAAAGTTTTGTTCCATACCTCCTATGGGGCTTCGGGAAATAGAATCCAATTGACGCTTTGTCAGAATGTTTCGCAATGAACCAGCGTTTCTATTAAGGATGGCAGATTCTTCTAGACCGGGGAAGATATCTCTGAGAGAGTGGGGGAAGCCAGACAGTTGCCGTTCACTTGTGCGGACATCGGGAAAATCCAGATCTATTTGCGAAACGGAGTCAAGGTCAGGGCGCTGATTATGTCCGTGTCTGAAATGTCCAGAATAAACAGCGGGATTTGTCTGATCACTTCCGTTTTCTTCGTCTTCGCCTTCTTGAACAAGTCCGAGATTTTTATCACCGTTTTCCTCTGGGGTGTTGTTTTTGTCTTCTCTATCTTCGTCCTGCTCTTTGAAATCGTCCGCCCAATCTGTATACATTTCCCCGCTGTCCTCGCCTTCACTGACGTCTGCCCGCCTCTTCCAGATGGGATTGTAGAACCCGGCGACGAGATGGTTGTACGCGGGCATGCGCTGCCTGGCTCTGGTCGTCACATGACCCAGGAAGTTCTGCTCTAGACCAGCCACACCCGGGCTGTGAGCGATGGAGTCGAAGCTTCGCTTTCTCAGGTGGTGGGAACCGAGCTGGGCTCTCAGAGCTCCGGCCCTGGACTCAGACCTAGTCGGCCCCCCGCGGTGTGTATCTGAGGCGGCCAGCTGAACCACCGAGCCCCGCCCCGCTCTCAGACTGGCGCCGTGGCTTCGAGAAAGGTCCGGGAAGTTTGCCCTCGCTCGTCCTCGAGACTGCATTTCATTTTTCGGGTCCCACGAGAAGTGTGACGTGCTGTGTTGTCTAGCGACTGTCTCTGCACCAGAGGTAGCGAGTCCGTAATCTGAGGGATTTCCCCAATCTGTATCAGGTGATGAAGATGTTTCTGCCAAAGATCTATCAGCCTCAAGACTAGATGGCGAATGTGAGTATGAGAAATCCGTGCCTTCAGGATCATGCGCGTCAACGAGAAATGCATCCTCATCGTCATCGTCGTCATCATCATCATAATGATCTTTATTACTGTCGTCCTTGTTTATGGCCGAAGACAGGGACTGTTCAAAAGGTTCAAGGTTCGAGTCTCCACCCTGCACAGACGACTCCGGGACTGCCAGCACAGAGGGAGAGGATGTTGTGGCTGCGTGAGACAAGGATGTGTCACCGCCAGGGAGCGCTGCGGCTCTCTCCGTCTGTGGAGAGGACAAGAGAGAGGCTGTCTCAATATGTGTACCATTTATCACACGGTTTGAGGTGAATAGCAGACAGACAGATTTTGGAAAACATGAAATAGGAAAACAATAAAACACAACAACAACAACAATGAACCAACCCACCCACCAACCACCCAAACAAACAGACGAATCACAAAACCTTCCGCCCCCCCCCCTTAAAAAACAAAACAACCCCCAACAACAAACCGACCAACCAAACAACCAAACAACCAACAACAATGACAACAACAACAAACAACTAAAAATCCCAACTAAAGCACACAGACTTCTAGGAAAAAATGGACTCTTAGACTCATGAATCGATAGAAGAACTCATAACGACAAAGAAAACTCACAGATACATATGTGAGGCAGCGTGGTGGAATCAGGCTCTCGTCAAAATAATCAAATTGAAGAAACCTGCATTTTTCCACAGGTTTGTGAATTTTTATCAAATTTTTGTTTTTTGGCCCAACACCTTTCATGCCCATTGAAGAACTCATTTCTGTGTGGATTTTTTCTGAAAAACGTTGATTAAAGGCACAAAAAATTGAAATTTTCAGTTACCACGGACTCTTAAGCTAAGGAAATAACCAATCTTTGGCGGCCATTTTCTCACAAATTTTTCCTCTGAAAACATGTGACCCCCACCTCCTTCATTCGCAAATATCTCCACTTGTATTCAAGATAAATGGATATTTTTTTCCATCCAAATAAAGACAAATGAACAAGCTTTAAGATGATACAATGATACCAATAACTCTACATGCCATAAAAATTGACGAGAGCCTGATTCCACTACGCTGCATCACATATATTGTACAAGATTATCGAGTTATAAATATTACGGAGAAAGTGGACATGTGCTGAAAGAGAAACAAGAGAGACCTCGTCAAAGTATTGGACGTCAGAGACAATGTGCGGGTGTCTCCGTGCCAGCCGTCAGTTGCCCGAAAGTGCCTTAACCCTATCCGCACGCTCTGGGGTCATTTTGTGCCCCCCCCCCTGTGTATTCTTAACATTTTAGAATACTTCTTTGGCGAGAGCTGGTTTTCCAATGCAGTGGTGCCCCAACGGTTGCCCCAACCACGGGATAGACGAAGAAGAAGAAGTACGGATATCTCTCTGAAACTTTCAGTATTTCTCAAAATATAATTTTGACAGACTGCTACGCGAAGCGTACGGATCGGATTAAGATTCCTCTTTGGAAAGTGGTGGCACAGAGTTCCCTACGTCGTATGATTGCGATAGTAAAACACGACGTACGGATAGGGTTAAGTGGTGGTACAGAGTTCCCCACGTCGTATGGATACGATAGTAAAACACGACGTAAGGATAGGGTTAACATGAATTGCCTGCGGATGGAAGAGGTACGTGACTTACTCTCTAAAGCAAACCTCCTCAAAAATCTTACAGAGAATTTTTTTTCTAGATGTCGCCATCTGCAATGATAAGATTAAAAATGTTTTTTCTCATATCCTAAATTATGTGGGCTCCTTCAGGATAATCTTTTTAAAAATGACGTTGTTTTAACAGGCGGAATAAACATGCACACACACGCACACACACACACACACACACACACGCACACACACACACACACACACACACACACACACACACACACAGAGGCAGAGAGAGAGAGAGAGGCAGAGAGAGAGAGGCAGAGAGAGAGAGAGGCAGAGAGAAAGAGAGAGGGGGGCAG